ACCACCCGCCACACGCCACGCCTCTCGCCACAGAAAAGGTCCTCTCTCCCGCCACTCCCCAATCGCCTTTCATAACTATGATGACGATTCACAAGTTGTGTTTGACTTCGTATTGTCAATTTTTTAAAGAAGGTCAAGGAGTGATCGATAGATTGTTAAGCCCATGGTGGCAGATGACCTCGTAGGAAATAGAGTTGAGTGATAGTCCTCGGAGGGAACTAGAAGCTTGATGTTGAAGAAAGCTTAGTCTGGATGATATTGGTAAGTGATTATAATACATATTTGAGTTTTGGTGAAGTGATTTTTGAAGGGCTGATTTGGAAAATCCTTTCAAATATATGCTCTTTGTGAAGACTGTTCTAGTAATAGTGTATTTGTGGAATTATTGGGCAAATTTTTTATTTTTTCAAGTGATGGGTTGGATGAAAAATAAATAATAATAATAATAATAATAATAAATTGTAATATCAGTAATTTATACATTGGTGGGCTTCTTGTACAATTTCAAACAGATTGATTTGCTATGACATCAATTACGAGTTACAAGGCAATCTAGTTTAAAATAATGAGGGTTTGTGTACCAAGTTACCTTTATCAAAATATATTGTTAATTGAGTTGGTGATTGTCTTATAAATGTGACAATTTTTGTGGTATCCCACTCTCCCAGCATTTTAGATATCATATGCACTTACTATAATTTTTGGGGAGTAGAAGTTAAACAATCAAAAAAAGAGGGGAAATTTAAAATTTTGTGAACAATAGAATTAGGTTTGAGGTACTCAAGGATGACAACTGGAAAGCTCGGAGTACCACTTCGGATTCTTGTCCTAGAGGTGAGCGGGGAAATTGTAAATTTCTTGGAATTAAGAAATGTTGAGTATTGGGTTGAATTCACTGTTGATTTCTTCGTTCCCGTTGGAGAGGAAAGGACATGGGGGGAGATGAACGACCGGCATCATGTTGGGCGTCGGTGGTGGTGGTCATGTGGCCCTGGCCATCGGTCTTTGTCAGGAAGCCTTAGGACGTTCCTGGCTGCATAAACCCAGGCGAGCCTTGGTCGGGTCACACTGCATTGGAAGTTACCTTTGGGCCTGGGCCCGGACGTGCTGCTTGGGCAGCGTGGCCTGTGGGCCTGGGTCTGGTCGCAGGGAAGCTGGAAACAACGGTGGTTGGCTACGTCAGGTTTGACCTTGGAGCAGCGGGCTACTGTATGGGCGAGGTGTCAACATTGAAATTAACAGTTGACCAAATCATTTGTGTAATAGTTTACCTAATTCTAGGACGACAATGGAATGTTATCTCCTGTTCATCTAAGTCATACTCCGTAGTTTATTGTGTTGATAGATTTATTTGTACGGAGAGGTTCCAATGACATTGCCCGGCAATGTCATGGGATGACCCGGGGGCGCTCCAATACCCCGTTCGTAAAATTGACGGTTCCTATCCCCCCTAACCCCCCGGTAAACCCCCCCATCCCGCCCCGACCTGAACACACCCCACTACCCCTTTTAATGTCATGGGAACCCTACCGTTATTTGTATATATAAATACAGAGGGTATAGTTAAGTTTTTCCCAACATTTTGATGTGCATGTTGTTGAATTTTTCAAGAATCCCTTTGGGAATGAATTTTATGGCTCTTGAGTCAAGGGTGGTCTTTGTGTACAGCCGTAGGATGGATAAGATGATGTGTGCTCGCCCAACATGCAGGATTCGTGCCTTTGGTGTTGAGGGATGTGGGCAATGGGCAACCACCATCACACTAATGGGCAACAATGGGGTTCATACCCCTGGTCCATAGTCACAGAATTCGATGCTACAACTGCATCTTCTGTTTTGGTACGCGGTGTACCTATACCCAATCGCAATTTGATTGCGATCCGAACGTCGGTGGTACGGCATACCAAAATCGCGATCCGGTTCAGATCGAACTATGGTTACCGATTCACTCCTACTATCGCCGGTTTGCGATTTAGATTGTGAGAGAGATCGGGAATAGAGATCGTCCGGTTCTGGGGCTGGGATCACGATCAATGGAAATGATATTCGAAAAATAAAGTAAGAAAAAACACAGAACTGAATACATGGTACACCGTACCGCTTCGTACCGAAATGATCCTATCCCCATTCGTACCGAATTCGTCACCTCTAGCGAATATCGTACCCAAACCGCGTACGTGTACCGGAACGCACCACGATTTAGGTGACTATGCCTTGGCCCCTGGAGGAGGCTCCAGGAATCCATGGACCTCCTGTATGGTAGGTCTCCTTTCGATCGTGGATCGGAGTGCCTAGCATGTTCGAATCCGGAAAGGGTTTCGGGTATGTCTTACATTTTTTCTTGTTTAGTTGCTACAAACACAAAAGACAGACATGGACTATATACTTATCCACTACTGAATAGTTCACCGTTCGCTGGGCTGTGATGAAGTGTTAATCTATTAATTACTTATTTGCACGAACACGGGATTGTTATGTAAGGTGTAGGATATCTTTTGTACTCACCGGTATGCTGCATTGTACTGACAACTGACCCCTCTTCTCTGATTTCATTCTAGGTGCGTCGATTCGCAGTACTCGTGGTTCCATGTTTCGATTTTCAAGACTTTTCTTTTGTCTTGGTGATTTGTTATCTTGTCTTGTTTATGATAGAACTCATCTAGACTGAACTGTTTACTGGTGTCAAATTTGTTTTGGCCTACGTGCCTTGGAAGCCGTGTGTGGCTGAAATTACAATATTTTTGTTAGACGTCCTCACATGCCTTGTTTGTTTTGAACGTGAGTTATTGGTGTCATTTTTGTTTTTGATAACCAAGGGTTTAGCGTTTACCTAGCATAATCAAGGGGGACTCTAGTTAGTCCGCGGACTCCACCTAGGATATGATGATTGTTGACGATTCAAAGTAGGGGGGGTGTTCGGGTTCTGACAATTTTTGTGGTATCAAAGCGAAGTTTCCCAAAAGAAAGTTTTCAAATTTAAACTCTTTCCTTTCGTCAACATGTGTATCGGATTTTAGTAATACAAGGATAAGGTTGACTCAAGCTGATGGTCCCTCGTTGTTAGGTAGGTGCCCTTAACAAATAGTGTACTACGATACTAGCCTTCCAAAGTTGTTTATTCGTTTGTACCATTTCATGAGTCTACCTGATAGGCTAACGTTATTAACACGCCTAGTGGTTTAAGTTACCCTATAAGCTTTTAAGATGATTGTTGAAATCTCCTCCTTCGAACCATGAGGAAGGAAATTTCTTTTCTACACTGGTATACTTTTGATATGGATGGTAGCCTCTGACCGTTATTGTAGGCTGCTTAACAACTAGTATGGCGCACCAAAGATCATTGGGAACTTCGAATACCCATTTGGTAATATCGTGACGATTCACTAGTTGTGTTTGACATCGTATAGTCAAGTTTTAAAGAAGGTTGAGCAGTGACCGATAGATGATCCTTAAGCCCAGGGCAGCAACGACCTTCAAAGTGCATGATTACCTCGTAGGAAATTAAATAAAGTTGAGTGATGGTACTGGGAGGGAAATAGGAACTTGATGTTGAAGAAAGCTTGGTCTCTGTGAGATGTTAAGTGATTACGATATGGGCATGTTGTTCAGTGTGCTAGCCGGATTATTTATCTATTTGAGAGTGGTATAAACTGGAATGTTAAAATAATCGTAAGGGATTCATCCGTTTTACTTAGCATAGTCACATAGTCAAATGGAATTTTAACGGAGATGTTCCATTTCTTGCATTAAGTTGTTGAAACAATCACTTACCCCCCTTTAAAATATAAAAGTTGAAACGTATGGTTGGTCATCTGTGTTCGTTTTACAATATCAACCATATGATAGATTGGCGGTAATGTCGTAAATGTTTCAATTCATTGGAATATAAACCTCATTCAATGGATACCTTCTTCCAAGCAAAATAGTGGTCATAGATTGTGGTGAAGATAAACACCCATTAACTATCCCTTTGTTTGGGAAAGTATACTACTGAGTAGCAAGTGCTTTAGCACCCGAATATTTATAGCATAAGAAGGGTTTCCACAAGCCTTCAGGGGAGGAGAATGTCAAAACTATGTTTCATTGTTACATGCAAATCTTGAGTTATCTTCAAATAAGGCATTTACTAGTTTTGCCTTACACGAGTCATTTGTCATTTTCTATATGTAAAAAGTAAGGCTAAGTAACCTATATTATATTGCATTTTGAGTATGTAAAAGTAAGACTAAGTAATCTATATTACAAATAAGTGTTTCTGAGTTTACAATGGTTAAATTTTCAAATGAGCTATTTTGACTAGGTTACTTTCGAGAGCTATTTTAGATGTTTAAACTTTTGAAGTACTGTTCTGTTGAAAAACACTTCTTAAGTGAGCTGATTTATAGTAAAGTCTTTATATAAAATTTTCCTAGGAATTATTTGATTAATTTCTTCCGAATTTGTGTTGTTTTGAGATCTAAACCCTTTACGATAATCGTTTGTTTGCCTCTTGCAAAGCCGGAATGATTTGGGAGTTAACCATTTTATACGAAAGTGCTTCTGACAGTTTTCTATTACAACAGAGCTGTTTTAGCAGATAAACTTTCCGTTGAAGCTACTTTTTGAACTCTTTCGTATCATACTATCATGGTTGTATGGGGTTAACCTATTTTACTCGGGGATTGGGTACGAAAACATTCTTAAGAGCTATTTTGGAAGTAGATGGTATATATGGGTCGCTGAGATCAAACTATTTAATGAAGGAAGTGTTGTCTAACATAATTAAAAGAGTATTTTAGATCAAATAGTTTGATAGACATGGGTTGCTGAACTCTTTTTAGACAGACTAGGTTGAAACCACTCTCGTAATGATCATGGTGGTGGATGTTTTTAGACAGACTAGGTTACACTTTTCTTATTTTTCCCCAAAGTCAAAAGAGAACTGTTTTGAGAAACTGAAGGAGTAATAATAATCAGCTTGGCTTGTTGACTTTCTCTCTGTTGCTCTGACACAATTTGACCGATAACCTCTTTCTCAATAACCTAGTTTCTGACTGCTGTGATCTCCTCCCCTGCTCAGTGGTGGTTCCGACGGAGGCATAGGCCGGCGGCAGGCGACGGCGAACAACGACTAAGGCCCAGGTAAGTTCACCCCATCCCCAGACCTAGCCGGAAACTTTAACCCCCACATCCCTAACCAGATCTGTCCCAGCCGTCGGATCCTTAGTCGCCGGTCTCCCCGAAGCACTACCAGCCTCCTTCACTGATTTACCAGCCATCCTCCAAATCGATCTCCGCTCCCCGAAGGCCTTTGACTAGTTTGCGCCAGCCTTTAGCCCTAGACAGTGCCCCCAACCACCCACTGCTGAACCCCAGACGACGCCCCCAGTGGCCTGCCACCCCACCCCAACCTCAGGTCGCAGAACTCCTCCACCGTTCAACCGTAATCCACACGTAGGCAGCTTAATCCAACCCAGATCCTACCAGCCACCCTGCTTCTACCTGCCTCCGCCCCACCCTGCTGCCTTTTTCTATTTTTCTGCATTATTGGCTGTTGTGTATCTGTATTGCTTTTGTTGAGTTTTTTAATCTTGCTTATTGTGCTGTGCTATATTTCTATTATTGGTGCTGCCTCTTAGTAATAATTACTCTAGTGTTGTATTCTTGGTGTTTATATTTTGTATAATTACTTTTCCATCATCTCCGATGGAGCCAAAAATTCCCCGTTTTTTGGCTTTGGGGTGTAATGGAATAAAGCAAAATGGATCTCTAAACTGTTTGCGCTTCTTTGATTAATGAAGTAGCAGTTAGTCAATCAATGCAACTTTCAACGTTGAGCCGGAGGTCTCTTTGGAAACAGCTCTCTACTTTCGAGTAGGGGTAAGGTCTGCGTACACACACCCTCCCCAGACACTACTCTTGTGGAATTCAACTAGGTTGTTGGTTCAATGTTCCCAGCCCCCTTGATCAATTTGATATTCTCTCTAATTGGTTCAGGACTCCTAATGTATAGTGTTTAAAATGACCTTAGCCTAGGATAGTAATGGTCTGGTTCAAGATCTTCAGTTCTCATTTTTTGAGAACCTTTCCCGTACCATTTTGGAAACGGAACAATTTCGTTATGTATATAATTTAGTAGATCCATTTGAAAATCTATTTTTTAGTTCGCTACCACCTGGGTTCGATTTGGAACAATTTGGTGTAGGTATTTTTGCCCACCTCTGGCAAATTTCCTGAAAAATTGCATCCAATCTAACAAACTGCATTCGCTGTTAAATGTTTATGAATTTTCTTAAAGTTTACCTAGCCATTTAGACATTTGCAGCAATCTGATGTTTCGTCCACTGCGATGGCGCGTCTGTCGGTCAATTAAGTGACTCACTCTGTTTATCGGTGAACGATTGTTAGACTTCAAGGTAAAAACGGCTGTGTTTTATTGCAAGTATTTCATATTTTAATTTAGGGTTTATATTTTTGGGCTTCGCCGCATTAAAATAAAGTTTGATTTTTTATTAGGAATGTTATTTGGACAATTTTCGGTTATGGTTTAGTGAAACTGTTTGAGTTGGGTGCAATATTTTCACTCTCCTACTTTTCACGATACGCTTGGATTGTTTTCCAGTAATCATTTCCGTGTTATATTTGTAATTCATTCAATTTGTGTGGATTTTGATCAAATCTGAGTTTTAATCATAAATTGTACTCCCTCCGTCCCGGAGTATTCGTCCAGTTTTGACTTTTGGAACTGTTCATCTAAGCACTTTGACTCATCAAATTCTCTCAATGTGTAAGCCTAAATATAGTCATGTGTGATATTGTTTGATTTGTCTTAACATATAGATTATTAATATATAATTTCTATAATTTTTTAATATACAAATTACAAGATAAAATGGATTAAAGAAGTGTATTGGATGGTGTGTAAAAATGAAAGTGGACAAATACTCTGGGACGGAGGTAGTAGTAATTTTGTGCAACCTGGCTGAGTCAAATATGATTGTTCTTCGTCCTTCACAAAGTGAAAATTTTGGCATGTTTGCAATTTTACAGAGTATGCTTTACTTACTTTTCGAGTCAAGTTTGGGGTTTGCTCTCTTCGATGCGGGAGAGCTTGATAGAGTGGGCAGAACTCCGAGTGCAATGCTTATTTCTGAAGAATGGTTGAACACTTATGAGGAATTTAGCAAACTAGTGAGCAACATCTAAAGGTTAGTTTCGTTTGATTTTTGTATTTGTTTAGGGTATGATTTAGTTGTGAGTACTTGTCTTTCACTAATGTACTTTTTTGTTCTCAAGAATTCTTACAGTTGAACTTTCACGTTTCCTGAATGACAACTTCCCCAAATCACCAAAGGCAATTCTTGGTGTAGATACGAAAAGCCCCGCACTTGCAATACTAAATATTCGCCACAACGCAGATAAATATACTCTCAAGAGGATCCAAATTCATTTTGAGAGATATATGGGGTTTTTGAAAAAGCCCAGTGTAGCCTTGCACATAGTTATAGCAGTGCTAAGGTTATGTGTAATACCAATGGAAATTACAATATGATCATCCAAGCAATTTTGATTTTGTATACTTTCAACAAGGATTTTAATTCTATGGGTATCCGACTCAAAGAGCGGTTTGGATGTCACTTCCATGAGTTGGTGAAGTTGGTTGATAATGGTTATCTATATGCAAGAGTTATAAAGGTGATAGATTACAAGTCAATGTTGACTGTCAATCACATTTCAACCTTAGCAACCTTAGCAGATATCCTTGGAGATGAAGACAAGGTGAAGGCTGTTGTAGATACGGCTAAAGCCTCAATGGGTAGGACATACTCTGTACCTATCTATTTTTACGTATGAATAATCTTTATGTTAAATTGTATATGTTTAATTATTTGTTCAGTTACATTTTCTTACATGCAGGGCATGATTTGTCTCCAATTGACATAATGAATATTCAATGATTTCCTCACCTTGTGACAGACTTCTATGAGCATAGAGAACAACATTATCATTACCTAGCCTCCGAAATGAATGATATTGCACCAAGCCTGGTATCTCTTATAGGCTTGCACAGTTGCACCATTTTTTTCTTCAAAAGCAATTTCAACCACTATTGAATAAGTGGTTTGACTTCATGGAGTTTAAAGAATATGTTGAAAAGTAAAATTTATTGTGTGGCGATGGAATAAGAGAAAATGGTGCAATAGCGCCTATAAGAGATATCAGGTTTGGTGCAATATCATTCACTTTGGAGGCTAGGTAATGATAATGTTGTTCTCTATGCTCATAGAAGTCTATCACCAAGGAGCAAATCGTTGAATATCCATTGTGTCAATTGGAGACAAATCATGCCCTACATGTAAGAAAATGCAATTGAACAAATAATTAGACATATATAGTTTAACATAAAAGTTATTTATACGTAAAAATAGATAGGTACAAGGTATGTCCTACCCATTGAGGCTTTAGTAGCTTCTACAAAAGCCTTTGCCTTGTCTTCATCTCCAAGGATATCTGCTAAGGTTGAAATGTGATTTTGAGTCAGCATTGACTTGTCTTCTATCACCTTTACAACTCTTGCATAGAGATAACCATTATCAATGTCTTCTATCACCTTTACAACTCTTGCATAGAGATACCAACTTCACCAACTCAGGGAAGTGACGTCCAAACCACTCCTTGAGTTGGATAGCCATAGAATTAAAATCCTTGTTGAGAGTATCCAAAATAAAAAAAATACTTGGATGATCATATTGTCATTTCCATTGGTATTACACATAACCTTAGCACTGCTATAACTACGTGCAAGGCTACGCTGGGCTTTTTCAAGATCACCGAGGTTCAACCCCATATATCTCTCAAAATTAATTCGGAGCCCCCAAGTATATTTATCTGCTCTGTGGCGAATATTTAGTATTGCAAGTGCGGGACTTTTCGTAAATACACCAAGAATCGCCTTTGGGGAATTTGTCATTCAAGAAACGTAAAAGTTCAACTGTAAGAATCCCTGAGAACAAGAAAATACATTAGTGAAAGATAAGTACTCACAACTAAATCATACCCCAAGCAAATACCAAAATCAAATGAAATAACCTTTAGATGTTTCTTTTACTTGTTTCTTTGCTTTAACGTATAAATAACCTTTATGTTAAACTGTATATATATTTAATTATTTGTTTAGTTGCATTTTCTTACATGTAGGGCATGATTTGTCTCCAATTGACACAATGGATATTCAACGATTTGCTCACCTAGTGACAGACTTCTATGGGCATAGAGTACAACATCATAACCTAGCCTCCAAAATGAATGATATTGCACCAAACCTGTATATCTCTTATAGGTGTTGTTATTGGGGCTAGGTTGATATCTCTGTTTGGCAGTCTGATTAATCTAGCTGGCTTGTGCCCGTTTACACTTCAAGCCTTTGGCAAAGAGGAAACATTCTACACGTAGTGCTTATCTATGCGTGTTGTATATTATAGTTAGTAATTAGATGGTTTAGTTGTAAAATCTAACTTCTGACTTCTGAGGTTATACTGCATTCTTGCTTTCTTGAAAGTATGTTTTAATTCTCCAAACTGGTTACAATTCTCTATGTTTCTACAATCTCAATGAGTTAGTTTTATAGTGTGCGTCTAGAGTGAATAGTTTAGCGAGGAGTTCAAATTCTCTTGTCAGCTCGTCCACATCTAACATCCATGGGTGGAGCGCTACCAGCTACCTCATTTTGAGTGTAAGGCGCTAGCTGCGCCACCTAAGCATTCTCGAAAGTGCAGAAAATGGATGTTAGGACTTATATTTTATGGACACGCAGATACAAGTTGCTAGGTCTTCTCTTGCATCTCAAAGCACACCTCTATTGTTTGCAAAATCGCAAGAAAGACGTAATCCCTAGTTCTCTCTTTTTCTTCTCCTCTTCTTTTTTCTCCTTTTAATGATTATTCTTGTAACCAACAAATAAAGTAAGGAGGAAGGGAGATTGAGTGAGGATTTTTGGGGAGATATTGATCTAGAATATTGTTTATTTACTCCACATTTTTTAATCACTGTTAAATTCCGGTGGGCCGAGAACTATGGGTGGTGTGTCAGGTAAAATTAATCACTTGCATATAAAGTCAGGATCTACTATTCTAACCCAAAGGCTTAAGCTGATAGGTAAGGCTGGTATCAGAGTTTATTTTTCGATGTAGCCACTCCAACACTCTCCTTCAAGTGGTAACTAGCCTGGTCTAGTTATCACTTGGACAAACGGGTCTAACATCTTAATCTCTTTTAGCCAGTCCACACAACGGATAGTGACTTCTCATTCTTTTATAGCCAACTCAACCCAACCCATAGTTGGGTAGCTCATTTTGCTAAACCCACATATAAACAACCAGGAACAATCGAACCCGGACCGGACCTGCTTCGATACCATGTTAAAATTCCGGTGGGCCGAGAACAACGGGTAGAGTATCGGGTAAAATTAACCACTTGCATATCAAGTCGTGATCCACTATTCTAATCCAAAAGTTTAAGCTGATAGGTAGGGCTGGTATCTGACCCAGTACAGTGATCCCTACCACATCCTAAATTTTATCATGGTACCAGAGCAGGTTTTGGCCCACCTCGTTTGTCAAGGTTTCCGTTTAGACGTTCATTCCTAGCGTTTTTCTTTAGCCTAGTTGTCTGTATGGAGTATGTACCCAACAGTCTGTGGCTCGTTTAACCCGATTCCTCGTCTGGAAGTCCATACACAGCGGCTCGTTGTCCTTTAGCTGTTGGCGCTAAAAAAATCAAATAGATGAGAATCCATTTACAAGTGATCAACCGGTTAGATTCAAAATGGACCGATTGTCCATTTGAGGGGGATTGTTACAGTCTATCCCACATCGAGAGTTGAATAGATAATCGGTATATAAGCTCTTTAGTGGAACTTAGTAATCGATTCGATTTAATCTTTTAATGTGGTTCCACCCAAGTGTCTTATGACCCAGTGCAGTGATCCCTACCCCATCCTAACTTCTATCAATCACCAAACAAGGCATCACCTCTGGGATAAGGAAGAACATCCATGTAATCTAATTAATTTCCTCTTTTAGGGTCCGCTTGGAAATCATGAAATGACTTCTGAATGAGTTATTTTCTTGAGGTCATTTTACTTTCTTGGTGTTTGGCTAAAAGTTGAAAAGTATCTATTTCCGTTTGTCTCAAATCTGGAAACTGAATATCTAGAAAATCAAATTTCTTTGAAGCATTTTATCAAACACCTTGCAGACGGGGACGGTAGTGACGCAATCTACCTCAGATGGAGGCTAATTATTGAGATGCATGCGGCGATTAGGATGGTGGAGACAATTGGGACGGGGCGGCGATGTGGGAGTTGAGGCGACGATCTGGATGGCGATGGATGAGAAGAAAAAGAAGAGGGATGGATGAGGAGAAAAAGAACAAAGGCGTTGGAGAAGAAGAAAAAGGGCGATGGAGAAGGAGAAAAAGAAGAAGGAAAATTGTTTTTGTATTGCATAAATCCTTAGTTGTGTTTGCTTTCTGTATTTCTCTAATGTGTTTGTGCTACTTAACTTCTTTATGTTTTTATTTATTCCTTTGCTTTCTATCTTGGTACGAACAATTTTTGAAGTTATTTTTATATCTTGAACTTCAAAATAATTTATGTTTTGAATGTTTTAGTGTTTCATGCAGTGTTTTTCTTGTATGTAGTTTGGTATTTATGTGTTTATGTGAATATATTCAGTGGTGTCTCTCCCCTTTTAAAACTAGGGTCCAGAAAAAGAGATACGGAGTACTGTTAATGCGTTCGTCATGCAATTTGTCTCTTTATATTTTAGTATGTATTCCATTGGTGTATTTTAAAAAATTTGTTTTGACCTCATTTGCTCGCTCGCACCTTTGTTCATGGAAATTTTCTTGTTTTTCCTTGTAGGGAAAGGTACTATAGTTTTTGGGGAGATGCTCTGCAAACAAGTTGAGGAGCGGCTTGAATTCCTTGAGAATGGAATAACTCATACAAAACACATTGATGTGATGAAAGTTGCAATTGAAGCTGCTCGAAGGAAAGAAAGCTGCTGGTCTGGTTTCATTTCCTTTGTGCATATAGAACGAAGATGAAACAAAAACTGCATTGGTCTCAAAATTGGGTTGGGTAGACCCTATAGAAAGAGCATTCCTATGAACAAAAAATCCATCGAGAAACACTTCCAAGTTTGGACATAATCTGCCCCATTTTGATTGAACAAAACCCTCCCAAGCTCGTTTTGAGAATTGATTTCTTTTTCCATTTCTCACCTTCCAACTTGACTTGTGCAATTTCTTATTTCTTGCCACTCCACATGACTTTTGAGACACACATGGAGTGAAACAAATTTAACAAAAAAGTATGTTAGATTGAGTAACTAATATCGATGTTTAAAAGTAAAAAAAAGTAAAAATAAATGTAAACCGTACAAATATTTGACAATAGCAGCAGGATAAATTCCTGCCAGAATTTCTTCCCGCCTACAATAACAGCAGGAATTTCTTCCCGCCAGAATTTCTTCCTACCTAAAGTGTGAACGGTTGCTAAGCATATTAAAAACTGCTGCACGTCAAACATTTGCCAATCTCGCTGCAGAATACTCCATATTAAAACCCACGGTGCCTCAAAATTGATTCTAGCCTTGCCTATTGGCTTTCTTCATCGGAGGGGCTTCCAAAAATGGTACTCCCTTTCTCTATTTCACTAACACCAGATGTTCATGGATTTCATTCTTTGCATTATTAACAGACCTTGCACAAATCTGGGACTTTTTGAATGCCTATTCTCATACTATGAGTTTTAATTTGCAGAACTCATGTTGATGAAAATGCTAAGTTGATCATGATTCTATCGCTTCTTAAATAGTATTTTCTCCGTCCCAATTTATAGTGTATTTTCACTATTCACATGGTCAAACTTCATTCACTTTTTTTCTCTATTTTCGTTAGCAATTTGATAAAATAAAGTAGTCCTGTCACTAATAGTCTTGTAGATCTTTTGATGTAGTATTTTAATATGTAATTTTTAATTTTTAATTCTATACCATTTGTCATATGCTTTGAATATAATTTCAGTCAAACATCGTAAACTGAAACATGCACTATAAATTGGGACTGAGGGAGTAGTACATTCATAATGTGACTACTACTTTCATATGTACACATGGTTATGTCTCATTTTCCCTGTTTTGCTTCGTTTGCCCAAATTATTTTATTGTGATTCCTTTGTTTTTTTAACGCTTTAATATATATAGAGTAATAATATCTTGGCACCAATTACTATGAAAAAGAATAATAATGTAAACCATGCAATTACTCTTAGAATAAATGTACTTTTATTTAAATCATTATAATAGGAAAATAGAAATTTAAAATGTGCAATTCAGAGAGCCTCTCATTAATAACTTCTTCTTTAAAAAAAAAATTTCTTACCGTGCATCTGGGTGAATACTCTAGTAATATAATAGTGGTACAAATTAAAAAGGTAAAAAAGGATAGTAATTTACTACAGTAATATTTTTTAGTCCTTTCATTTGGTGTTTACGCATGTTAAGAATGAGTTAAAGTGAGATGAAAATTTGTATAGAGTTATTTAATTCAGAAAAAGAAAAAGAGAAATGAATTGTTTTGATGTAAATTATCAAAATGAAAATAATTAAATTATTTATTATTATGAATTAACTATTTTACCTGGAAGTTCTCTATAGTTACATTTGAAGAGTATTCAATATTTATATCCTGTTATGAATTGTTATTAATCTAATTAGAACAGATTAGATCTTATTAGATCAGACTTTAAAAAATCATATCAGAATTACTAAGATGAGACGAACATAATGCCTGCTACATTGTAATTAACGGTAAAAAGAAGAGAAACTATAATGGAAACGAGCAGTGGTTATAGAGTGTGATAAACTAAAAGAAATAGAAACCAGTAGATGTATCTGTCGCTATTTCAAAAACAAATACTCCGGTATGTAGACTGACAATTGACAAAATTAAATACAGGGTATAAAAATCAATGGATCTTGTGACTGATAATTAGGCCAGGGTGAAAAAACTTATCATGTTATAAAATAAAAAGCAATGTGGAAGGATTAAAATCAAACAATGCAATGAACTAATAATATCTAAAAAATAGTTTGTATGTGAGTTGTTGGTATGATAATGGTCTTGTTTGGAAACAACGTTTTTTATTAGCGTTAGCGTTTTAAATAAAATTTTAATGGTGTAGATTAATTCTGAAAACGCTAACGCTAAAGGCTACCGTCGGATAGCTTTTTCAAAACGGTAACGCTAACCTCTAATGCTGATTTTTTCCTTAACCAAAAGGGCTTTTATTTGAAAGTAATGATGTAAACTAGAGAATTTGTTAGAGTAATGACGTAATTTTTTCCTAAACCAAAAGGGCTTTTATTTGATTTTAATCAATATTCATGGAAAGATTTAAAAATAGAAGCAGAAAAGGCACTCACTTCAAATACAAACTTACTATTTATGGTTTAAAATTTTATTTTAAAATCATTTTAGACCATTTAATTTTTCTATTGAAGTTCACAAATAGTAAGTTTGTGAA